GAAACAAATTCAATTATATGATAATTTGAAATTAAACATTAAACAAATAAATAAAACATTTTTATTTATTATTAAACATTGAATAATAATAATTTTAGAAATTAAAATTTAATATAATTAATGAAAAATATAATCTATTTACATCTTTGAATTTATGAAATGTTTTTTAATGCTAAATACTTATAAATTTTTAATATTTGAGCAATTCAACAAATAATTGACTTTAATTGATCATAGAATGTGCTCTTAAACACTCATACGATGATCATAAAACATCTCTTGTATATACTTTAAATTTCTTTTTAAAATAACAATATTATTATACAAATTATTAAACAGTTATTTATTTTACAGGTTCTCGTATGGCATTTGTAGAGATGAAATTAGCTTTCATAAAATTCTTGCTTAACTTTGAAGTGACACCGTGCGAAAAGACTTTGATACCTATGAAACTTGATCCTATGAGCATTATGACGACGCCTATAGGAGACGCAATGCACCTCAATGTACGAAAAATTAACACTGGTGAAGAATTGAAAATAGCGTTACATAAAGCAGATCGTAGACGGTCATCAGTATTCCGATTAATTTATAATAATGTTGCACAATATATTAGTGATCGTTTTTAGGATCAATATATTGAAAGTTTGTGCAATAGTATATATTGTATTAATGAAGAGTTTGTTAAAATACACACACTCCAAAAAAGCGGTAAACTAAAAATTTGGAAAAAATTACCGAATTTTAAATGACGAGAACTTTGTAAATAATAAAGATCGGAAGGTTTCTAAAAAATGATAATAAAGCGTGGAATCTCTACTTTAAGAATCTATTCATTTCAATGTTGCAATATAAATTTATTAAAAATGACGGAAGACAAAAAGAGAGCATGCAAAATTGAAAACTAATGATTAGAATTTGCCAAGGCACATGGTGTGAATAAAATGTCACAACTCAATGGGATAAAAAGCATATGATAATAGAGAGTTTCTCAATTAGAGATAATAAAACAACATGAGCCTATTACGAGCTATGTGAATTGATGTCAAACATATATATTTCCAAACTTTACATCAAAATCGTATAAATATACTTTACAATGAGACGTTTCGACGCTTACTTGTGTCTCTTCAGTCATAATTAGTTAAAATATAGTGAAACGTTGGTTAAGTCAGTACGATGTGATCTGTAGAGAGTTTCTCCTTTAAAATGCTTTTTTATTCATCTCGATACGATCATTTTTTGCTGAGATATTCGCCTTTAAATAAAAAGGTGACTTTTTAATTTAAATACGAATGACTCTACAAAAAATCGTCGTATCAAGATGAATAAACAAGCATTTTAAAAGGGAGATTCTGTACTATTATATGATTTTTATCCCAATAAGTTGCGACATTCGATTCACGCCATGTGCCTTGGCAAACTCCGGCTATTACTTTCAATTTTGCATGCTCTCGTTTTGTCATCCACCATTTTTAATAAATTTACCTCGTAATGTTGAAATAAATAAATTCTTAAAGTAGATTTTCTAAGCTTTATTTTTATTTTATATGAACCTTTTTATCTTCATTATTTACAAAGTTATCGTCTTTTAAAATTTTGTGATTTTTTCCAAATTTTAGGTGTACTGCTCTCTTTGGAGTGATTATATATTGCGTACCGTAAAAATATGGTACATTGTCTATTTTGTAGATATTATTGCGCAATATTTTTGCTAATGCTCTATCTAGAAAATATGTGATTAATATTATTGTGCAAGGGGGTTTAACTCCAAACCTCTCTTCGTAAGAATTTGTCAGTGATATACATATATTTATATATTTTACTATATGTATATTTTGTATATATGTTTACTATGTTATTATTTATGTAATTTTGTATTTATATATATAATTTTTTATAATTTGTGCTTACAATTATTTACAATATAATAAAATAATGTGCATGTCCTAATAATTATTAAATAAAATAATACAAACTCATATTTGAATATTCCAGCATTATTTTATATATATTTAAATAAGTCTGTTATTTATTTCTCTCTATTATTCTTCTATTCTATTCTTTTATAATTTCTATAAAATATCGCATAAAGACATTTTAAAATAGTTTTAAGAATATTTTAAAATGATTTAAAAATTGTTGTAAAAACATTTTTTTAAATATTTAAAAAGTATTTTTAAATATTTTTAAAAATGTTCCTTATTATATACAAATTATATATATATATATATATATATATATACATATATATTTGTAAAGTTTCACGTTAATTATAATATTTATTTCGCGAAAATGTATTACATATACATTATTATACAAACCTTTTTTTAAGGAAGAGAATTAGAAATGAATAAAACGTCAAAATTTTAAGGATTAACTTTTTTTGAAAGTGTTATAGGCTGTGTAACATATATATTCTTCTGAGAAGAATTTTTTCAATCTAAAAATTTTTTTTGAGAGATTTATAGACTGTGTTAAAACTTTTTCAGCTTTTAATGTCAATGTGTTCAAAATATATAAAATGTCGAAATTTTAAGGATTTTGTTTATATACAATTCTTCTGAGAAAAATTTATATATATAAATATATTTTTTTTTCTAAAAACTAAAAAAAATTTTTTTACATAAAACTAATTTTTGACTTTATTCATTAAGAGAATTGTCCTCAGAATTGATGCGACAGAAAGTTATACATTACCATTTCGTTGCGCATCCTATCATTTATTCTATTAAGTTATTTAGAATCACAAATATATTTCATCCAATTAGTCATTATTTTTGTTTTTTTGACAATCGAAAATATGCAATTCAAATTGAGAACGTGTAATCAAATAATGGAACTGCCAGATCGAGTAAAAATAAAGATAAGTTTAATGATTACATTAATAGTCTGATCAAAAATTGATCTATAAGACTTCTCTTTATGTATTATATAGGGTGTCCTGTAATATTTTCTGTCAATTTGTTATTATTTACATTTTTTATGTATGTATAGTATATATAGAACAATCTCGCAATAGGTATAAACTTGTGAACAGAATTATGGATGCGGTAACGCAAATAATAAATTCTCCTAGCATGGTGGGGAATATTTGCAATGCTTAAAAATAAATGTATACGTAAGTATATGAAAGTATATTAATTTATTTTGAACATATATTGAAGTTGATGTTATTGATTCAAGTAACCTTTAAAAAATTTAATCAGCTCGTTTAATCAATTCGTTGTATAATAAAAATATTATTATTAACATAAAACTTCATGCAAATGATAGCTTATGCAATGTAAATGAAATTTTGTGAACATAATTATATATTCAAAGAGCGATATCTATAAAGAAAAATATTAAGAAACACTTATAGATAAGAGGAGGGAATTAAAACCAATTAAAAAACTGCTCTTCACATACAGCACAAAATATGAAAAAAATTTTTTTAAATAATTTTTAAAAGATGAAATAATTCTCAAAAATATTTTTAAAATCTTTCTTTGTCCGCTATAGTAAAAAAATCATGCTTACGTATATATTTAATATACATATATGCGCGTGCAAAAGAGCATATTAATATTTTAACTTTACTTCGCTCGTAGACAAGGTTGACCAAAATTTGAAAGGTGTAGCCAGGCATTCTTTCCGGAACTTTTTATTTGCAAATTGCGAATATAAAAAGAGTCATCGCGATCGCGCGACAGGCAGTCGCGAATAAGTTTATATCGACGCTAAAGTAATTGTCATTTAATTCCTGTGTCGTATGTTTAATCAGTTTGTGCGAAATTATTTATATAGAAGGCAGTCCGATAAGTACTTACAATTAGCCTCATCACCCGATGATGCCAATATCGCAAGAGAGTTTTACTATCGTGTAGTACATTCTCGTAGACGGCTACTGTCAAAATTTCAGCCGAATCGGACTCGTAGTTTTGTTTTGACCGCGTGTGAAAGCGGGCGTGTCCGCGGATTTTAGAAAAATGGAAAAAGAGCAATATCGGTCGGTGATTTGATTCTTGTTTTTGGAAGGGAAATCGCGCAGCGAAATCAAAGATGTCGAAATAAAGAATCTTTGATTTCGCTGCGCGATTTCCTTTCGAAAAACAAGAATCGAATCACCGACCGATATTGCTCTTTTTTCATTTTTCTAAAATCCGCGGACACGCCCGCTTCCACACGCGGTCAAAACAAAACTACGAGTCCGATATTTCAAATTATTTATTGTGAATTACAAGACATTCAGACAAGAGTATCCTAATTAGTTTAAATTTCTACTTGGCAGGTAGGTACAAATCCTTGAAATTCTCATTGTGCCTATATAATATGTTAGAAGTTTACTATATAAAATTTATATAAAATTGTATATAAATAACAAGCTTAATTATAAATTTAATTATAAATATAAATATAATTATAAATTTAATTTTGCACCAAAAATATTGGACAAATAATATATTTTCTTTTTCTTTCCTTCATATTAAAAGTTGTAAAACTATATACAGGGTGTCCATAAAATTTGTCCTTATTTTTTGTATCTTGAAAACAGTTCAACATGATTAAAAACTTTATTTCGAGAGGAAACTATTATAAGGAGATTGTTTTCAAGAGGATGACTCTAAAATTTTGTATAGAAAAACTGAAGAAAATACTATAAACACGTTTTATGAAATAATTATGAATATTCTCGCCATTTTTCTGATTTCGCAAATTTCAGTTAATTTACAGTATAAAAAATGAAATATTTTGAAGAAGTCATTGATGTCTTTCTTATGAAATTTTACGGATGCACATCTAAATATATATATCAAATCATTAAAATGTTTACTAAAGAACATTTACATTATGCGAAGAGACTACTTTTACCTAGGCTATATTGATTAATTTTATCTATCAATTTGAAACTTATCAAATACATATTAATAAAGAATTATAATTATTTTCATAATTATTTATGCAATTTATACTTCTTACGTATATCTTTTTATTCTTTACAGAGACATAAGTTGAAAATGGCATCTATAACGTCTTATTGGACCTTGGACAGCTTGATAATTCTAATAGTTTCTATAATAATTGCCTATTTTTATATGACACGTAAGTTCAAATATTGGAAGCAGCGTGGCGTTGCGGAAATATCACCGACACCTTTCACGGGCAATTTTACGGAATGCGCACTTATGAAGAAAGCACCGGGATTGCTATTGCATGAGTTACACAAACAAGCTAAGGGTGAACCTTACGTCGGATTATTCATGTTTGATAAGCCCTTCTTATTGATCCGCGACCCAGAAGTTATCAAGCACATCCTAGTAAAGAATTTTAATCAATTCTGCAATCGATATTTTATACCTAATGAGACAGATCGTCTAGGTTACGCGAATCTCTTCTTTGTAAACAATCCAGTATGGAAAATGCTAAAATTGAAAATGACACAGGCTTTTACACCCAATAAACTGAGGAAGATGGTGAATTTGATAGACGAATGCGCGAAGAATTTAGTCAACTATTTGGATTCGATGGATTTGGGAGGTAAGTACTAATTTAATTATCAAATATTTAAGTATTTTTATATACATATATATATATATATATATATATATATTTTAATTTAATGAACATAAATTGATGAATGTTTATTGATTTACTTGGATGACTCTCACGTTGAATTTAATTTTTTATATATCGATTTTAAGTGACCTTAAGTTTCGCATTTGTGTGAAATTATTTCTTTATAAAATAAGAATAATGTTCTGATTTTTATATATTACTAGATAATACAAGCGCGCGCTTTGCGCGCAAAAATGTAAATTCTTTTCATCGGAGTAATATATTTCACACGTCTAACGCAATGCGCGGTTCATGCGAGACTGATTCTCGTGCGCTCCACATGAGAATTAGTTTCGCGCGACCCGCGCAGCGTGACAGATGTATGGGATATAGTCTCGCGCGAGTCTAATAGAAGCGTAAATCTATGCTAATATATAATCTATATATTAAATTAAAAAAATAATATGAATAATAATAATTATTATTATTATTATATCTAATCTATATATATATAATCTCGATATTTAATCATAAAAGATTTTTGTACAAATATTTATTTCTTTGTTCGTATTTCTTGTAAAAGACTTAAATATTGAATTTTTATGCGTTGCATAATTAATTAATCGAAAACAATACTTAATTAAATCGTAATTTTGTAAAGACTGATCTTAAATCTACCAAAAGAAAACTTGATGTCTGCGAATACAATGTAAAATTATTTAACAATAAGTACTACCTATATGGAAAAATATTGTTTTTTAAAATAATATAATATTGTTGACAGATGATGGAAAGATAATAAACGTAAAAGAATTATGTGCTAAATTTACCACGGATGTGATTGGTAGCACCGCTTTCGGACTCAACACAAATTCTTTCAAACATCCGGATGCTGAATTCTGCAGATACGGCAACATGATTTTCTCGGGGCCTGTCCGCTCTTTTGAGATATCCATGACAGTTTTCATGCCAACACTAAGTCGCTTGTTCGGCGTGACATATTTTAGCAAACGGATCGATGCATTTTTCCGTAAAGTCTTTTGGGAAACGATGGCAGAACGCATAGAATCCGGCGAAACGAGAAATGATATTCTTGATATTCTTATCAAATTGAAAGATGAACACGGTGACGAGAATATTGAAGGATTTAGTGAGCAGAATGTTAATTAAATAATAACATTACATAAGTTCCGGAAAAAAGTTATAGAACTTTATCAAATAGTAAAATAATAAGAGAGGAAGAAAAATATTTACACAGATATATATTATTATATAAATATGAAGAATTAAAATTAACATTGATCAAGACAAGCACGCACACACAAAAGAGACAAATCTATTAAAATTTAATAAATTTAATTTCCAGAATTTGATGGGGACGAACTATTAGCACAAGCGGGAATTTTCTTTGCGGCTGGTTACGAAACTTCCTCGACAACGATGTCTTTTGCGTTGTACGAACTCGCGTTAAATCCTGAAGTGCAGAACAGAGTAAGGAAAGAAATTTTCGACACGCTTATTGAATGTGATGGAAAAATTACATACGAAATGGTTGGTACACAAGTATCGATTGAGATATTTATTTTCGCTTTTCATCGAATCTGAAGAGCGTTATCGATGAACGACTGTAATATAAGAATGACAGATATATGTTTATTACTCTAGATCATGTCATTACCGTACCTTGAAATGGTATTTCTTGAAGTTTTGAGAATGTACCCACCATTAGAATATCTACAACGTGCAACCACCGAAGTTTATAACATGCCAAATTCCAACCTTGTACTCGAAAAAGATACACCGATCTTTATATCAATCCGTGGTTTGCATTACGATCCAAAATATTTCCCCAATCCAGACAAATTTGATCCGGAGCGATTCAATGAGGAGAACAGACGCAAAAGGCCAGTGTGCGTTCATCTTCCATTTGGGGATGGTCCACGTGGGTGTATAGGTGAGAAAATCGGTTTTAATTTAAAGATTGATATTATGTTATGTTCAAAATTATATAAGTTTGAACATCCCATGTGTATATAAATGCATAAACTTGTTTCGACTATATCTTGACATTTATGCAAACGTTGAAAAAGTGCAATTAAAATAAATGAAATTACAAATTCAAATTATATTTTACTTGTATACAATTACAAAATTGTTTAATTTGAAATTATTGAGAAATTATTTATTTTAATTTAATAAAATGTGGAACAAATGCAATTATATGATAATTTCTCTCAGGTTCGCGTATGGCACTTGTAGAGATGAAGCTAGCTTTTATAAAATTCTTACTTAACTTTGAAGTGACACCTTGTGAAAAGACTTTGATACCTATGAAACTTGATCCTATGGGCTCTATGACGACGCCTATAGGAGACGCAGTGCATCTCAATGTACAAAAAATTAACACTGGTGAAGAATTGAAAAGAGCGTTATATAAAGCAGACCGTAGACGGTCATCAGTATTCCGATTAGTATATAATAATGTTGCACAATATTTTAATGATCGTTTTTAGGATTGATATATTGTAAGTTTGTGCAATATATTAGTATATATCAATGAAAAGTTTGTTAAAATACAGTCTTTCCAAAAAAAGCGGTACACTAAAAATCTGAAAAAAATCATCAAATTTCAAATGACGAGAACTTTGTAAATAATATAGATAGGAAGGTTTCTAAAAAATTATAATAAAGCGTGGAATCTTTACTATAAGAATCCATTTATTTCACTGTTGCGAGATAAATTTATTAAAAATGACGGAGGACAAAACGAGAGTTGCAAAATTGAAAAATAATGATTAGAGATTTGTCAAGGTACATGGTGTGAATAAAATGTCACAATTCAATGGGATAAAAAACATATGATAGTACAGAGTTTTTCCTTTAAAATGCTTGTTTATTCATCTCGATACGATAATTTTTTGAGATATTTGCATTTAAATAAAAAGGTAGCTTTTTAATTTAATTACGAATAATTCTACGAAAAATTATTTTATTAAAAGGAATAAAAAAGCATTTTAAAGGGGAGATTCTATACTTTCATGTGGTTTTTATCCTTTTGAGTTGCGACATTTGAATCACGCCATGTATTTTAGCAAACTCAGACCATTACTTTTAATTTTGCATGCTCTTGCTTTGTCATCCACCATTTTTAATAAATCTACCTCGCAACATTGAAATAAATAGATTCTTAATGTAGAGATTCCAAGCTTTATTCTAATTTTTTATGAACGTTTCTATCTTTATTATTTACAAAGTTATCGTGCTTTGAAATTTTGTGATTTTTTTCAAATTTTAAGTGTACCGCTTTTTTTGCAGTGATTATGTATTGCGTACCGTAAAAATATTATACATTGTCTATTCTATAGATATTATTGCGCAATATGTTTGCTTATTCTCTATTTAAAAAGTATGTGATTAATATTATTGTGCAAGAGGGTTTAATTTTAAACCCTCTATCGCAAGTATCTGTCAGTGATATACATACATATATTTATATGTTTTATTATATGTATATTTTGCATATATGTTTACTATGTTATTTTTTATGTATTTTTATACTTATATATATATATAATTTTTTATAATTTGTGCTTACGATTATTTACAATAAATAAAATAATGTACATGTGCTAATAATTATCGAATAAAATGACACAAGCTTATATTTGAATATTCCAGCATTATTTTATATATATTTAAATAAGTCTGTTATTGTTATGCTATTAAATGTAACAATAATTTATTAAAATATTGAATTTAGATTTATTTAATCATTTGGTATAAAGGACAATATATGTTTTGTGTACAATTAATCGGTTTCAATAAAAAATAAGTTTTTTTTAAAAACTGATGTATTATCATCCGCATCTATTACATTTTTTACATTAATTAGAATAAACTATTATTAAAATCTTATAAATATACATATGTATTAATTATTAATTTAGCAAATAGAATTATTTATGCAATAACATTATTATGAGTCAATAATCCACTATGTAAAATATTTTCTTACTTAGTTTTATTTCTAATATAGCTCTGCTTTTTTGTTAATATCATTTTGCGAATAGTTTTATGGTCCTGGAAATCACACAATATTAATTTAAAAAAAACATACTTTTATAATAAAAAATAAATAAGAGTTTATTATATTATTATTATGAGAGAGAAATATATCGCAGTTACTGATTTAAGAGTAATTTTTATAGCGATAGGTAGGGACGGCTCTTTCTCTCTCTAAAGTAGTAGATAAGTAGGTTAAGGTAGAATTAAGTTATTTGTAAATTAGATGTAAGAGTAGAGTTAAGAGTAGATATAAGTAAGATTGTAAGAGTTTCTAAGGTTGGGGAACGCTCCTTCAAAAGCGCCTTCAATCCCTTAGGGGACGAATAAAGAATTGAATATATTGAATATTGAGCAATTTTTATAAAATATAGTACTAATAAAATAAAAATATATAAAAACTACAAGAAATAAAGAAATATCAATAAAAAATCAAATGGCTGTTTGCTTTCCGAGTTTGTGTATTAATATTTTATTTTTAATAAAATATACTACATCATAACAATTATTTTATATAATACTTAAATGTTTTCAATATTGAATTTGTATATATTTATTAAGTTTTAAATGTTTTTCTTATTAATTTTATTAAATATTCTGCTTTAGTTTAGATATCGAAATTTAACGACTTGGAGACATCTAGAAATATTCTGTATAATGTATGACAACAAAGTCATGTGCGTTAAATAGAGAAAAACTGTGTTATTATTATATAATATAAATATTTAAGCGCTTCAGGTCAACGTTTTCTATACTTACTTTGTTAGTTGCTCGTACAGTGTCGAAATTAGATAATAGTAATATTATTAGCAATATTTGAAAAAGGAAGATAACAACGAGCTATAAGAACGAAAAAATAAGAGGCATATTCTATTAGAAGAAAAAAATAAGAAAATTAAATATGATATGTATAGTTTATTGATTTTATGATTCGATATCTCTTTTTTACTTATTTAATCGATAAAAATTAATTGATAAAATATATTGTAGAAATATGTATGTATTCATTATCATGTTTTATCAAGAGATGCGACATATCAAATTCTGTCTAATAATTAAATATGACTATAATTAAATATGACTATAATTAAATATGACTATAATTAAATATGACTGCCTTTGCATTTTATCATATAAGCTGTAAAAAATTTTTATAATATATTTTAAATCAAAATTATTCGTTTAAAAATAATTTGTATTTTCAGTCGCACAGAAAAAGTTCTGCTAATTTAAATAATTATTAGACAAATTGGATCTTAAATCTTATTTTTAATCTCAAGAAATTATCCTTTAAAATAAATGTTTCGAATGCAGTCGTTTTTCAAAAACGCATATGTAACAATACTGTTTCTCGGACAAGAAATAATTTGCATGAAAATAACAATTACATAAACACTTGTTAGAAAATCATACTGTTTGTTTTAAAAGCAGAGACAATGCAGCCTTACGGGAAAGGTGGCAGAAGAGGATCAGAAAGAGGCAGAAGAAAGGTTAATAATGGATTTATAGAAGGATATTATAGATGCCCCATATGTACTATAAATTTTTTAAATTTTCGTACTTACGTAATTCATGTAGTAACAGTGCATATGTTGCCAATGTAAGCCAATGGTTACTTTCAGCAAATAGCTTTTAACCATTTTGAAAATAACCATTTTGAAAAATAACCATTTCCATAAAGAAAATAACCTATTTGTTAAAAATAACCATTGGCCAACGACATATATGAAGATTGTCAAAGATGTAAGTAGGCATATTAAATAAGCGATGCATCTCTTAAATCAAATTGAATTAATAACGACGATTGACAATGCGTTCTTGAATTTTTTCTCTTGTTCCTTTTTTTATTTCTTTGTTTATTAATATTAATATTGTAATTAAAAAAATATATAGAGAAAGACAAATTAAGAGCCGTACACGCCAATAAATGCAAAAATGTTTTAAATAAAAATTTTCCTTTTTAAAATAATTGAAAAACTAGTAGTTTTATTTATTTAATTTAAGAAAGCCTATTTCACATTTCTGTTTGTATATTAATATTGTAATTATATTAATATTATAATTAATAGTAATTAATATTTTATACTAATAACATATATTAATATATATATATATATATATATATATATATATGTATATATATATATTTATATTATATTAATTATATTAATTTCTTTTTCTTTCTTTTTTTTTTAACTGTAATATCCATGAATCTCGACAATCTCACAAACAAATAGAAAGTTGGAAATATACAATTTAGTCGTAACAAAAATAAAAAATAAATTTTTGTTAATATTAAAACAAATAAATATTGTAAATTTTTGCAATTAAAATATTGCGATTTTTAAATGCTTTACACATTTACTGTTTTTACTATTTTAATTAAATATTTATATTCAAAAATCGATATGTATAATTCTTTCTTCACATTAAAATTACAAATATTCTTAGTGTATTTTAAATACTTATATTTAAAATTATGATTCTTTTTGTGGTGCGTACAAAACATTTTCTATTTACAGCAAGATTATTCGCAATAGTTAGAAGCTATCAAATAAACATGTAATAAAAATTGGAGTTCAATGTTTTCTATTTATATGTATTCTATTTACAGCAAGATTATTCGCGATAGTTAGAAGCTATCAAATAAACATGTAAAGATTAGAGTTCAATGTTTTCTATTTATATGTATTTGCTCTTGTAAAGTCGACATTAACAAAATTATTGACAGAACTTAGAAATGAAAAATTAAAAGCGTAAGAAACAATATAATGGTGAAAAAAGCTTTTTCTTAACACATCGTGTTAAGAAAAAGGAAATAAGTTCTAAAAAAATAAGAAATTTATATACACATATATATTATAATATTTTTATATATTATTTCTATATATTTATATTATTTTTATATATTTTAGATTTATGACCCATCGACTGGTTTTATTATAATTTACATATTAAATATTCCATAAAAAAAAAATAAAAGTTTTAAGTTTATTAAATCGACAAATTGTAAAATATACATAATCAATAAAGTGAAGCCGGTTTTTATACATAAATATACATATAATCTGATTTGCGTGTCATTAAATCATAATAATATTAGTTTTTTTTATTTTTAGATTCTGATCATGTTTCATAGATTTTACAAGATTCAGATTTTCCTATAGTTGTGAATATACCATTCCATCTTTAGTATACAGATGAGAATCTTATGTCCGTTCACTTTAGAGTAAGAGCAGTCGACAAGTGAAAGTACTTGAGTTTGATTTTCGATTCAGCGACTTTGTCGTTGTATTTTCTATAGTTGTTTAAGGGAGAGAAAGAAAGAGGGGAATTTAGAAAAATAAAATCTGGAATTAAGATTTATTAAAAATTGAAATTTATTTAAAAATTGAGATTTATTTTTATTTTACAAATCTACGTTTATACTATGTGCACAACTAATTAGTTTGAATGAAAATTAATTTTTTCTTGAAATAGACTTACTATTTATTCACGTCTGGCTTTTTTAACCCGTTAAAAACAAAAATTTTTTTAAAATTTTACACTACATTATATGTGCAATATATTTAATGACTTATACATTTTTCAACAAAAAACACACGTTATATGTATATTCTTTGTGCATCAAAAATTATAGATTAAATTATACATTACTGTTTTAATAAACCCTGGATTTAATTTTTCGCAAGTTGAGATGTATTATACCGTTTAATGGTACTGTCATGGCACCCCTCGGATCAATTACCATTGGTATCAAAGTTTTCTCGCACGGTGACACTTCGCACTTACTCAAGATTATAAAAAGCGCCAGCTTTATTTGCAAAAGCCCTAAACGAGCGCCTGCAAAAATACATAAATTATATGTATAACATAATAAAACATGATATTCTATACTAACAAAAAAATTATATATCATTATTATAAAAATTATTTCATGATTTGGTTGCGTTATTTTACATTTTTACGACTAAAGTTTAAATTTGACAATTATAAAATTTAATGGATTATAAAACATATAAAACATATATACAATAATAATAATAATAATATTATTGTATCAATATTAAATAACTTATATTTTTTGTCTCTCAGAGTCTACAGATTTTTTTTATTTCCAATTTTAATAATCTACTAGACAACATAAGCGCGCGTTTTGCGCGCTCCTTTGATATCATTTTTATTGTTCATTTTACAACCGTCAAATTGTTAATCTTTACAATAACAATTGTTTGATGCTATGACCATAATTTTAATTCGCCGACTTACTATTACTATACATAATATTAATTCCCGAATTTTTATTTTGTATATAATTTTAATTTATTGAATTTCAATTATGTACATAATTTTAATTTGCCAAATTTCTATTGTATTGTTTGAGAACTATTTTTATAAATGTATCTTTTTATATATATTTTTCTCATTTTGTATAGTTAAATCAAATATAATTATGTGCGCGAAGCAAAGTTATATTATTCTTTGATAAATAAAACCTTAAAAATTGTAACGCATGTATAAAGTTATTATTGCAATGCATAGAAATATATTTATTAATTATGTGATTCATAAAAAATTAAATATATAAATTTTTAACAGAAAAAGATATAATTTTCTACAAGAATCTTTCGATCAAAATATTTGCGCTTCCATTATATTTGCACGTCTGTACACGTCAACTACGCTACGCGGTTCTGCATGTTGCACGACGAAAGCAACTCTCTCTTTCCATTTTTTATATCAGATTAATATCCCATACACCCATTACACTGCGCGGCTCGCGCGAGACTGACTTTCGTGCCAGGTATCGTGAGCGCGGGCTCGACGGTCACGTGACCACTGGTCATGTGACTACTGATCATGTGATCATCGGGCCCGCGTTCTGAATACCCCGCACAAAAATCATTCTTGCGCGAGCCGCGCAGCGTGATGGATGGATGGGGTATAGTCTCGCGTGAGTCTAATGAAAGTGTAGAAATTTAATTACAAAAGATTCTTGTAGAAAATTTTATTTCTTTGTTCGTATTTTCTGTAAAAGATTTAAACATTAAATTTTTATGCATTGCATAATTAATTAATATATTTTTTGCATTGATTGCAATAATAAATATATATATATATACACGCTACATAAAAGTATTTATAAGCAGATTTGTTAATACAGTAGGAAGTTACAAGTAAAAGTAATTGTGTCGACTCATAAATCAAACTCAGTTTTATTATCAAGTTTAATTATGATAGAAAATTATTGTTAGTATAGTAAACTGATAGTAGAATATTAATACAAATTTGAGAAATACACTTCAATAATTTTCATATATTTTTTTATTAATTAAAATTTATTTTCTCACCTATACATGCATGTGGACCTTCTCCGAAGGGAAAATAGACGCACGGCGGTATCTTACGTTTGTTCTCTTCATTGAATCGCTCCGGATCGAATTTATCCGGATTGGGAAAATATTCTGGATCGTAATGCATGCCGAGCATTGCGAAGTATACTGGTGTACCTTTTTCAATCACGAGATCCGAGTTCGGCACTTTATAAGTCTCATTTGGCATACGATTTATGTATCCCAACGATGGATACATTCTCAAGGTTTCGGAAACCACCATATCAAGATACGGTAGTGACATAATCTGATAACAAAGTTTAATGTCATCTCATTACATTACAATCTCTTAAAATTTATTCGAGCGGGGTTGTTACAAGTGTTAACAAGCAAAATTCTAATTTAATATAAATAATATTTTTAAAACTTAATTTTTGATTTAACTTTAATTAATTTAATCTTAACTTAAACTGAGTTAATTTTTTGTTTATGCAGCTTTTAACTTAATTAAATTAATTTTTTAAGCAACGAACTTTAACTTAGTTTTAAAAAATTATTAACTTAACCAGCCCTGCATCCAAGAGTATAAAAGATAAAAAAATCTAGTAAAAGAATTGCTCTGGCTATTTATATATATCAATACTTGCGTTTATTATATTAATTTTTAGCAACTCAATATTTGTGTGCACACCATATCGTATGAAATTTTTCCACCGGACTGGTCGAAAGCCTCGACAATTTCTTTCCTCAGGGTAGTTTGAATATCAAGTTGCAATGCGAGCTCGTATAATGTGAACGCCGTTGTCGTCGAAGAGGTTTCGAAACCAGCGCTAAAAAAACTTGCTGCTTGCGCCAGAAGATTATCTCCGTCAAATTCTAAAAGTTCATTCATTTTTATAGACTTTTGAAGGCTCCTATTAATTAACTTCAATAATGTCATTAGAATTACTACTAATTATCATTATAAATTATCTCTTTATATTTATTAAATATAGATATATTTTTTAATTAAATATAAATATAATAGTTAAATATAGACAATTAAAAAGATTTTTTTACAAATTTGAAAAAAAAAGAATTATTATTTATCGTTGTTTTGAACTGTTCTTACTGAATTCGTAGTAATCCTGATCACCCTGATTCTTTTTCAATTCGACAAGAATATCCATGAGATCGTTTCTTTTTACGCCTGATTCCATGCGATGATTAAGCGTTTCCCAAAAAACTTTGCGCAGAAAGGCGGTGGGTTCTTTGCCAAACAGTTTTACGCGAGCCAAACGAACTATAGTTGGAAGGAAAAATATCGCGAGCATCTCCAAGCCGCGGATGGTGTCGTAATGAAAGATCATTTTGCCGTATTTGCGAAACTCCGCATCCGGATCCTTGAATGAATTTACATCAAGTCCATAAGCGGTGCTGCCGATGACATCCGTCGTAAATTTGGCTGTTAATTCTCTCACTTCAATTATTTCACCTGCAATGTCATCAACTTTGTTATTATTTAATTCATTTAGCTAACAATAAGTATCTTATGCAAAGTATATTTTCATAAAATGTAGAAACCTTTTTTCTGTGCATTTAAGTGCAATTTTTAAGTTACATTTAAGTTACATTTTTTAGAAATAATACTTGAAATTTAGTAGTATATATAAGTATTTAATAATACTGTATATTTTTTACACACTTGAGCATATTTTAGTTTTTTAAATACTTTAATAATTATATAATTAATCGAGCCAGTATACTTTTGTAAAAATAAGCTATTGAAAATGTTTATATAATTATATACATTTTCTGCTTATAAATTTAATCAATATATTATTAGAGTAAAAAATTGAATGAAATAATAACAGTGCATTATTATTGATATTTAAAATATTGAATATATATACGTATATATTCAACATTTTATCTAATTTAACACTTACCTTCTGGTTTCAACGAATCGAGATACACGTCTAGATTTTGTCCACATTGTAACATTAGATCAAACATTTTTCTCAATTTGCCGGATGTGAAGAATGGCGTTAATTTCGTTCTAACCATCTTCCAGACTGGATTTCTTAAAAAGAAGAGATTGTTGGTCCCCAGACGATCTCTCGGGTCCCCATTATTGTATCGATCGGAGAAGATACTAAAATCTTTCACTAAGATGTTCTTGGCGAGTTCCCGATCACGAACCAGCAAGAAGGGCTTGTCGAAAATGTAAAAACCAATATAAGGTAAGCCTTTTGATTGCTCGTATAATTCCTTCAGAAAGTACGCCGGTGCTTTCCTAAGTAACAGACATTCCGTGAAATTGCCTAAGAAAGGTGTTGGCGGGAAAATTTCCGTGATGCCTCTTTCTTTCCAGTATTTAAATTTACGTGTCATGTAAAGGTAAGCGCTTATCATGAGGGTTGTTAGAATTATAATGCCGTCCAAGCCCCAATGAGCAGTTATGAGCGCCATTTTAGATAACCTATAAAAAAACATTTTTTAAATAGGAGCCTTAGTTTTTGAGTTATATTAATCCATTATTTAAAATAGAACACCCTGTAAATTATTTAAAAAAATATTTAATATGTATATAACACACACACACACACACACACACACACACACACACACACACACACACACACACATATATATATATTACTTCCCAGTAAACACAATATATAAATGTTATATACTCAAGCATGTTACATGTAACGTATATGTTAGTTGTAATTTTTCACTTATAGATGTAACATTTTAAATATTACATATATTACATTGTAATTATATTGTCATTATATCCCAAGATAGCACTGACTTATCAATACATCAATGTGCTATTTGGTATATAATTACAATATAACTACAATGTAATATATGTTATATTAAAATGTTACATCTATGAGTGGGAAATTACAACTAACATGGATGTTACATGTAACGTACACGTTATATTACCTGTTATATTCCGTTTTATTTTAGCAATGTAACAATTATATATCGGCGTTTGCTGGGTTATCTAAATCTTAAAGAAGATTATTGTAATCAATTGAATAGACATATCTTTTGTGATATTTCTGCTTATCTCTATATTTATGAATGATTAAACATTGAATTCTGTTCTTAAATACATACGCATGCATGTTTGAAAAAGGTATTAAAATCGATGAAATGGTTCTCCAAAAAAAATTAATGTGCTTTACAAAAATTTAAATTTAAATAAAAACTGATACTTATGCTTTTATTTCTGCAACGCTCTGCTTTTATCAGAGAAAATTTGTTCGCTTTTTTAGTTAACTTAATAGAAGTCTATAATTTGTACATTTAATAATTATTTATATCTTAAATTGACTTTTAAATTTAAGATATAATTTCGGGAATTTTTGAAATATGAAGGCTTTTTTCCTAACTTTTCTTGCCGAATTTTCTTAACAAATTTTTTTTGATAAATTTTCTTTAATCTAAATATCGCGCAATAATAAAAGTGTATTTTTTCTAAATGTTTCTTGTCTTTTATTTTTTTGTCACTATTTTGATAAAATTTTTGTAATTTTTAATATAAATATGTATTTTTAGAATAAATGTTTTAATTTCTTTTTGTATGTAATCAAATGTTTCAAACAATATTATTCAAATTATTATGCAATAAAAATAATAAAAGGTATTCTTTAATAAATATTTTCTTGAATATAAATTTTCATTTTTCGGAGATCAAAAACGAAGCGATCTGCTAATTTTGATATCTTTCTTATGTGATACAATAGAACGCTTTTCCGATAATCTATAATGACACATATTTTTTTATCAACAATTAATTCTCACCGTCGAATATAAAACACAGAACACTAAAATATTTTTCAATGCGAACACGCAATCACCAACTGCAGTGACAGAATAAACTTCTGCGTCACATTGGCGACTGTATTTATGCACTTCAATTCTTTTTTTCTTTTATCCGCGCCGTCTACAAACGCTATTATTTTAATGCAATGTCGAGAGAGAGATTTATGCACACGCAAACTCTTAATAACTATTTTTTAGAAAATCTCCGAGCTCATCTGTACTACATCCTGTTATTATGTCCACTTGTCAAAGAAAAAGAAGATCTCAGTATTTTTCTTTAATTATTTTCTCTTGAATACTATATAAACTATAATTATCTGCTCATAGTAAAAAATAGTAAAAAAAACTCACAATTAACGCCTTGTACAGTTTATTTTTTTAAAACTGCTTATCAATATTTTTGTTCTGCTCATATTTTTTAAATTGGATGAAAGATCATTTTTAACATAAGACAATAATTTTTCATAAACATTTAAAATTATCTGAATTTTTTTCTTTAATAACTTGAACTAATAAACGTCCTATTCTAGTACATACACATTATTTAGCTATATTATAGAACTCGTGATTATTGATTAATTCGATTAATCAATTAATCGTTTATAGTAAATGCGATTATTCGATAAATCTTTAAATTGATTAATTATTTAATCCAATTTTTCTGATTTATTAATATATTTATTTAATGATTTTTATCTTTTAATCAGTTATAAGTTAATAAAGTTAATTAATACAATAAAAAAAAGGTTTTTACACGAGCAAATATGGATGAATATGTATAATTACTGTATTTAAATATAAATTTTACAATAAATTCATGCAAGACGTTTCGTCACTTACTTGTGACTTCTCAATCGCTAAATTCAATACAATTACATATAATAACAGTCTATAAATTTCATCTTAAAGTTATAGTTGGTCTTGTTGGCAATGTAAAATATATTAATATGTCCATGTTGTTCGTATTAATTTCGGTGGTCGGTAATAATTAATGTTCGATCTGTGTTAACAATAGCGTACTTGACAATAGCAGTTAAACTTTTATACGGATTTTATTAGATATAATTAATATTAGTTAAATTGAGAACACCTTTTACATCTTTTTATTTTTTGCCTCGATCTCCATAATAGTGTTATTTTTTATCGACTATTAGGCTGAATATACGCAAAATCTCTCTCTCAATCTATATATATTATTTGGAAAAAGATGAAATTTTTTTATATTTTGTTTATTTTGTCTAAAATCGGGAAATAAGCCTTGTCTAATAAATCAATATCATCTATAAGTTTCAAACTGTTTTTTTGTTGTTTAATGTGTATTGTTTCTGATATTAATCTTTTGTAATAATTGCTTTTACAATCTAAAATTTTAACGTCATCTTTTTCTATAGCTACTGTAGTATTACCTTTGTCTGCGCGGGTGAAAATTATGTTGGGATGTTCTCTGATGAATTTCTTAGTTTCCTTCGTTAAATTGATTAAGCTTTTATCTTTGTCGTCGTATGTGATTTTTGTAGTCAGAAAATTGTCAAGTTCGTTAATTATATTATTTCTAATTTGTATTCTTATATTGATGTCAATCCTAATTATAGAGCTTTCAACATTTTTTATGCATTTATAGATAATTTGGTCTTTATGTGTTGAAACTGATAAAGAAAATTTATTGCCTAATTGTAACAATTATGTGACACATTGCGGAATATGAACAGTGGTTGTATTTAAGAACCATTTTTTGTTGGTGTTATGTATTGGATTTGCAGGCAACTTATTAAATTGGCCTGGTGTAATATGAACTACTCGCCAATTATCACAATAATTTATTAAAGTTAAGTTATCAATAAAGTAACAATGATTATATATTAACATAAACAAATTATTTATTATCTGTCGAATTAATTATTTGTTCTCTGCATGTACTGATAATAAGTATATATACATACTTGATAATAAATATATATATATATATATATATATATATATACATCGTATAATATAAAATATAATGTATCATTGACGCAGCTATGTTGTAGATATAATTATTATCCACACGTACACATATGGATATATCAAAAAAATTTACTGTAACGAAATAACTTTTGCATAAAAAATGGACAACAGATGATTATTATTTCTTAGTTGTTCCGCCTATTTTCGTATATTACACATATTTATAATAGCAACTTATATGCATACATACATATTGTATGCATACATTTATTGATCTTTGAGGTGAAGAAAGGAAAGAATGTTTCATTGATAAAATTGCATTTGAGAAAATCCTTTTATAAAAAAATAATCATTTCTGTTTTATGAATAACAACAGACAAGATATATTTAAATTTATATATGTAGTTGTTAAAATACATATATTTTAATGCGTCTTGATAATGAAGGCGAATCTTACAATTAGTGTAAAATATACGACACACACTTCCAGTTTTTATAATTTTAAATACATTTCTCTATTCTCTAATAAATAATTCGGATATCTCGTGTTTTATACTTAACGCGTTCCTCGAGTCGCATCCTTTTATGATAAAAAAATGCATCCTGAGTATCAGTCGAATCGTCTACATATTGTAGCTTGAAAGTAATGACTCGTTTCTCAAATTTCAATTAGCGCTATTGACTTTCTGGATGTTTAGATATAGCTTGCCACCTAATGGTGTCGTTACGGTAGTTTTTGGATCAATTACCATTGGTATCAAAGTCCTCTTGGAGGGTGTCACTTCGTATTTGCTCAAAATTTTTATAACCCCAAGTTTCGTTTGCAACAACCCCAAACGTATACCTATTGGAAACATTGCGGTAACAAAAATTCTTAGTAAAAAAATATATATATCTGAAAATATGCCGATAATAAAAAATTAATTGATTATATTTTAAAATTAATTCGATTGCCTTACCTATGCATGCGTGCGGACCTTCCCCGAATGGGAAGTAGGCGCACGATGGTATATTACGTTTGTTCTCTTCGTTGAACCGCTCCGGATCGAACTTCTCCGGGTTGGGAAAGTATTCCAAATCATGGTGCATGCCGAGCATTGATATATAAACCGGCGTACCCTTTTCGAGTACCAGATCAGAATTCGGCATCTTATAAGTCTTCGTCGTTACTCGGTCTAAGAAGGGTAACGGCGGATACAACCTCAATGTTTCGGACACCACCATGTCCAGATATGGTAGCGATAACGCCTGACATAAAAATTATTATTATTATATATATATATATATATATATATATATAATTTAAGAAAATATAATATAAAATATAATAAAATATAAAATATAATAAATATAATAAAATATAATAAAATATAATAAAATACAAAATATGAATATAACAAAATATAAAATATAATAAAATATAAATATAATAAAATGTAAAATATAATAAAATATAAATCATACTAAAATATATTATATCATGATATGATATTGTATAATCATTATAAGCGTTTACGTACCATGTCATATGTGATGTTACCATTGGCTTTGTTGAGCGCGTCAACGATTTCTTTCCTAAGTCTGTTTTGAATATCTGGCCGTACCGAAAGTTCGTATAAAGTAAAAGCCATTGTTGTCGAAGAGGTTTCAAAACCGGCGGTGAAAAAAACGGCTGCTTGCGCTACTAAATCGTCACCGTCAAATTCTAAAATTTAAATCTACTCTTTAAACTTTTGGACCTTTTTACTTGCTTAAATATAATTAATGATATTTTGTATGCTCTTATAAAAAATCATCATCTTTTTATACATAAAATTGTGAAATTCGGTAAAAAAAATTGTAGGAAAATTTAAAAACAAGCGTTTTATAGGTAAAATATAATTTATAAAATATGAGTAAAAGTTTTCGAGAAAATTTATTTATCAAGATTTAGAGCATCCAAAATAAGTAATTTTGAAGATATATGATATTTTTTGCCGCGTTACAGCAATTTGAAACTAGCATAATTTTTAGAATGGAAAAAGTGTTCCTTATTTTTTTTTAGTAGTATAATATAATATTTTACTTACTGAATCCTTCGAGATTCTCATGACTGTGATTTTTTCTCAGTTCGATAAGAATATCTATAAGATCGTTTCTCTTCACGCCAGATGCAATGCGTTGATTGATGACTTCCCAAAAGACATTGCGTAGGAAGATGCTAGATTCTTTGCCGAACGTTTTTATACCGGCCAAACGAACCACTTGCGGAAAGAAAAATAACGCGAGCAGCTCGAAACCGCGGATATAGCCATATTCGAAGATCTTTCTACCATTCATCCGGAACTCGGCGTCCGGATTGTTCAACGAATTTACATTGAGTCCGTACGCGGTGCATCCTATCATGTCCGTGGCGAATTTGGCGGTTAAATCTTTCACGTCTATCTCTTTTTTCACATCTGCAATCACATTCAGTGAATTAATGTATATTATTCATACACGAGAGTATATTTTTTTGACTTTTATTTCAAAAAATTTATTCAACATTTTTATTAAGAGTAGAATTGAAAATATACTCTATTGAAAAAAATATGAAATTTGCTTTCATTAAAAAAATATTTATACATATATGTATATAGACCGCAGGTGCAATTTAATTGGATAAAATTGTTGTAAATTTTATTGATTATTTTTTGTGTACAAATATTAAAATATAAAAATTTATAAAAATAATCAAGAAATACGAATATTTTATATAAGAGGTATGATATATATTATACGTAGTATTACTTTCTGTTATCTTGATTATCTTATCATTTTTCTTATAAATATGTAAACATTTATTTGATTATCGAAGAATATACGAATATATATATGTGTGCATTATGAAATATTTTGTATTTTATTATATTACTTTGACTTTTCTCACTTGTTAACAAATAGAAAAGTCGAAATTTATTTATCGCAATTTTTATCGTTAAATTCTTTGTATCTCGACATTATATATATTTAAAAAATTTTTTTGTACATACCGTCTACTTTCAAAGATTCTAGATGCGTGTCTAGATTCTTAGCGCATTCAAGCATCCACTCGAACATTTTCTTCAACTTGCCGGACGTAAAGATTGGGGTCAACTTTGTTCTTAATATCTTCCAAGCCGGATTTTTTAGGAAGAAGAGATTAGTGTAACCCAAACGATCATTCGGATCAGCCGAGCTGTATCGATCATCAAAATAATTGAAATCCTTTACTAAAACATTCTTGACGACTTCTCGATCGCGAATCAAGAAGAAGGGTTTGTCTAAAACGTAGAAGCCGATGTATGGTAGCCCCTTCGCCTGATTGTAAAAATCCTTCATGAGATAGCCAGGTGATTTCTTTAACAACGCGCATTCAGTAAAATTGCCTAAGAACGGCGTCGGCGGACTTATTTCCGAAACGCCTCGTTTTTTCCAATAATTGAATTTGCGAGTCATGTAAAGGTAGGCGGATACGATGAGAGTTGTCAAAATTATTATGCCGTCCAGGCTCCAATAAGCCGTAATGAGTGCCATTTTGACAGCTTGTGTTTATAAAAAAAATGTATTCTTATTGTCTACAAAAATAGAAAAGAAATGGATTATATTTTATCGTTTTGTGGAGTAAATGAATTTTTAAATAAAATTTTTTAAAGAATTTATGAAATATAAATAAAAAATTTATTAAATATAAATTTTGTTAAATACAATTTTTCTCAAAAGTTTGAAACAATATTATTAAAACTGTTATGTGTAATAAAAATAATTTATATCAGTAGCTAAAGCAATAAATATCTATGAATAAAAATTAGATATGTATATACATTATATAAGTTTCAGTTTTCAAAAATTTAATATCTTCTAAAACAAAATCACATGTTTTCCTGACATTAGTTCACTATTTAATTTACTTTTAACAACTAAGTAGTTCTCAACATCAAATAAGATGTTTAAAATTAGAAGTTATTGCGCAAACGGCTACGATTTTACTAGCCGCGATGACAGACTCAATTTAAATGCGACATAAACTTTATACAGTGTTATAAAAGTACCGGAACAGCAGAATAACTCGAAAAATATGAGTTCTAAAATAAATGTTAAGTATTGGGTTTTCATGATTTTTTCCTGGCTATCTGATGGTGACCTTAGCCAGAAAAAAATCATATAAACTTAGTACGTAGCATTTTATCTAGGACTCATATTTTTCGAGTTAGTCTGCTGTTCCTGTACTTTTATAACACCTTGTATGTATATATACATTTCGGATATCCCTATTTTTTTTTTATGCAATATTACTGGCGAACCGTTATCATTTAGCGTTGCTCATCTTATATGCACGAAACTCAGTATTTTAAAATTTATGTCATAACGTTTTTATAAGAAATATTATATTATATATATTACGCACTATTTTAAAATAGTTTTAATTTAATAAATTTAATCGTAATATTGAAAGTTATTAATATTTTTGTAACAATTAATACATATATATTCAAATTATTGTTTACCGATTTTAAATGTGTTAAAGAATATATTCAAGTTCTATTTTTATCTGTGCCAGTTTAAATATATAAAATGTTTTAATTGATATATGTAATTACGATTAAATTCACGTAAAATAATGACAACAAACGTTAACATAAAACACGTAGAATACATAGAATATACGGTTATAAAAAAAGAATTTTGTCCTTTTATAAGATAATAGATGGTCTATAACAGAAAATATCAATACGTACTTATTAACTTACAACGAATAATAGTTATTAAAGCAAATTCTCTTACTAAACTGATAATTTATTTGCGAATGCTTTTATATACTTACATTTACGTAATAACGAACTCTGCTATACAATAAAATTGCTGCGTGAATTTATTTGAATAATTATTAAATAATTATTCATCTTAGTAATATTTGTTCGATTTTTCCTTTAATATTGCAACAATATTATCGTTAAATTCTCAATCAATTTATGATCCGTTGAATATTTATTATACTTAATAATATATTTATAAATAATTATAATGTATACATAATATATTTATCTCTATTAATTTTATTAATATTACACTTTTGATATAATATATACATTTATTAGTAAAGAAATGCATTGGTATACTAAAATTGAAAAGCGTTTCTTTCCTTTGGAATCGAAATGCAGAGACGAGACTCCTTTCCCGACTACGCATTAACTTCAATGTATAAATATATGCAGTTAATGTGGAATTTACATGCTTATTGTTAGTTCAAAGTATTCATCTAATGTGTGTCCGTATCATAAATGCTGTTTAATAAGTTTTTTTAATAAATAATGCGTGACGGCTCATTAAGCAAAATGTTTACAAACTTATATAATCTTGACAAATAAATATATATATATTGTTACGTCCTCCGGACGTTCTTTCTCGCAAAAGACGTCTCTCGCACACACTCTCACTCACTCGCGGCTCGCGAAATAAATACACTCTCTTATGAAGAAATGATCCTTTATACAATGATGAAATACAATGACTAATGTACACGCGAAAGAAAGAAGATTGCTCTCTGGTCAAGTCACGTCCGTACGAGATGACAGCTAGACCAAAACTGTCATGGAGCCTGAAAACAACCACCGGGCGGTTGTCAATAAACAACCCCCCTTAACGATGAAGCTCCACGACACAAGGGATGATATTCAGGGGATGAAAGATCAGGGACGTAACACTGCCCCCCTTCTTCAAGATTGTCGTCCCGACAATCAAAAACAGAGGGCTATCCAACGCTGTACAATAATTCTGCATTCCGATGCCGACCTCAGGACTCCGACGAATTTTCTTGTTCTACCCTGGGCTCCTGCCACAGGTTACCAAACAATCCGCCATTCTGGATCCCGTCGCACATCCGTTGGACTATTTTCGCCAATCCAAGTCCACAGTACAACTGTATCAATTGTCGATTCCAGGGCACCGACGAGTCTTCCTGCCCTACCCTGGGCTGCTGCCGCAGGTTACCGAGCGACTCCGTCAATTTGGTCCCAATCGACTTTCAAAATTCCTTGAAGATAAGTCCCAGTTTTCCTTCGTCCTCCGGTTCAGACAAGGGGGGGGGTATCTTCCGTGGACCTATCGTCCCTCATGGACTCCCCAAGTCCCTGTCTCGGCATTTGCCCAAAGTCCCGCGGGAAAACCACGGATCAAAAACCGCGGGCATGACAGTCTTCTTAGAGTAGAATAAAGACGGATGAAGATTTTCTCCCTCGAAGACTAAGCTGGGAGATTAATTTTTCGAAGACTCTGTAACGAAAAATAAAATGCGCAGTAACTTATTCTATTTTTTTTAAATTAAAACATCTCCCCGAATTTTTAAATGAAAATCGACATTTTCGGGCTCCAATCTACTTAATTATTTTTCTAAACTTCTCTCGAGAAAAGGAGCTAATCTATCTTTCTTTCGTAACCCTCCCCTTGAATTATTTTTATGGCTTTTGCCCTTTCAATTGCCAAACTCAATGAGGTTATATTTTCTAATTGTAAAGTTCGTTTGACAAAATTATCATATATCGCTGAAATGAATTGCGCGCAGGCGATTTTATCTCGGATTTCGTGTGGGCACTCGGGATACGCAAGGCGAACCAATCTTTCAAGTTCCGAACCTAATGTTGCCAAATCTTCCCCAAACTTTTGTTTCCGATTTGTAAATTGAACGTAATAATTTTGTGATAAGAGTCCTTCTCCAAAACGCAATTCAAGTTTTGATTTTAATTCGTTGAATTCTAAATTGGACACGTCTTCTACCGTCTCTAATACTGAACGCGCTTTTCCCCTCAAATTCGAAGCGAGTGCAACAGTCTTTGTTGTATCATCCCAACTATTCGCTTGAGCAATTAAGTTAAACTGCGAGAAAAATTCACGAAGTGATACTGTCCCGTCATAAGTATCAGGTTTTAATTTGTACCCTAATATCGCGCGAAAATCGTTCTCCCTCTCATTTAAAAAATGCGTACCCGAATTTCCACACGTTCTATTATTAGAAGGACTTAGCTGTAGATTTTGGGGCCGGGAATGAATCTCCTTCAAGGCTAGAAGTTCCTCGTCGTGACGACGCAGCATCGCCGCAATTTCGTCCTCTCGACGAGTCTGTTCCTGTCGCATCTCTCGCATTTCAAGAAGGAGAACCCGAGCTGTAGATTCTGTTACCGCCGGTTCTCCTGCGACTTCCGGTAACGAGCCCGTTTGCTCTCCTGATTCCTCGCTGCCAGTCGTTCGAGACGGAGCTTGTGAACGGGTAATTCTCGGGGAATGTATCATTCTCGACGTTTCCGTTCCGCTGCGGTGAGATATTCCTTCGATCCGATCCCGGACGAGCCCCCAAAATGTTACGTCCTCCGGACGTTCTTTCTCGCAAAAGACGTCTCTCGCACACACTCTCACTCACTCGCGGCTCGCGAAATAAATACACTCTCTTATGAAGAAATGATCCTTTATACAATGATGAAATACAATGACTAATGTACACGCGAAAGAAAGAAGATTGCTCTCTGGTCAAGTCACGTCCGTACGAGATCACAGCTAGACCAAAACTGTCATGGAGCCTGAAAACAACCACCGGGCGGTTGTCAATAAACAACCCCCCTTAACGATGAAGCTCCACGACACAAGGGATGATATTCAGGGGATGAAAGATCAGGGACGTAACAATATATACAGAATGTTAAAAAAGTGTCGCATACGCTTAGTACCATTTGATAAAGAATAAATGTCTAATACTATTTTTTGATTTGATGAATAATTTCACCGCAATTAATTATTGTAATCAGTCAATCAGCTTGGAGTTATAAGAGTAAGTCAGGGACGGGCGCGCGAAGTTAGCTGCGACGCGGCGGCAACCGCGCTCACGTATGATACGCAGTTTTACTTTTTTATAGCATAAACAATATTCCATTTAATATGAAAAAAATTAAATAATTAATTGTCTTACAAAATATAAATAAAATCAATTTATGTTAATACATAAAAATAATTCGGCGAATTAAAATTATGTCGAGACAAAATAAAAATTCAAAATTATTATTATGTGGCAATATAATTTCTACTTATCAAATTTTTATTATGTGGCAATATAATAATAATTCCATGAATTAAAATTATATCGCGATATACAGATATTTTGGTGAATTAAAATTATGTCGAGACATAAAAATAATTTGATGAATTAAAATTATTTCAAAACATAATAAAAATTTTGGATTATTATTATGTGGCGATATAATTCTAACTTAAAGAATAATATTGTAATACATATTTTAACATTTTGCCATTTTGTAGTCTTTCTCTTGTGACTGGAGATTTACGTATTTATTTTTGGTTTAGCTTTTCATTTAGATAACTATGTTAGCATTTGTAAACATTCCGTTTTTTTTACTTCTGCTTTTGTTAACATAAAAAATTACTATAAAGCCATAATGTGTATTTATTTATGATGAATTTCAAATAATTATCCTTAGATTGGACCAGTATTCTTGCCGGAAAGATTAAATGGTTTAAATTATCTGGACTTTTTGCGTGATGAGTTGCCAAATTTACTTTTTCCTCCCGCTGCTATCGACGATATGCCGCGATTTCGACGTAACATCATTTTTATGCATGATGGATGTCCAGCGCACAATGCAGGTTACAATTATTATAAATTATTAAACATATTTGAAAACATAATTTGTTTTAATAAACATTTTCAGGTCTCAATCAAATAACAAATTAATGTAAAGTTTAAATTTTTTTAGTACAACTTATAAAGAATTTACAGCTATTAGTATTAGTTTGCAATATGTGTTTTATATCATAAAATACTAGCTTCTGAGAGTTTCTAAACTTCTGATTTTTAATAAACACATGACGCTTTGCTATTATTTCAATGTTTGTATTTTTGCAATTTTTTGTTTTTAAAGAAGTTTTATTTTATACGGATAAATATTGTTTTTCGTAGATTAAAATTATGTTTGACTAAAAATTGCATGCAAAAAGTGTATAAAATACCGTACATCAATGCAATAACAACAATTTTTTATTTAATCAAATATACTTTTCAATCGATTTTTATTTCACATAAATGATTTTTGTATTAATTCAATTTTCTAATTGATACCTTTATAAATATCATTAATTATTGGTTCTAAAATTGTTTTAATTAATTATTTAATTTTAATTAATTATTAATTTTATTGTTTTAACTATAACAGCACTACTTGTCCGAGAATACTTAAATAATACGTATAGAAATAATTAGATGGGTCGTGGAGCACCTTTCTGGCAATGGCCACCAAGATCACCAGATTTGAATCCTTGTGATTTTTTCTTGTGGGGTACGCAGAAAGAGAAAATTTATTTTAACCGCATAGAAACGCAGGACGAATTAGAAGAACGAATACAAAGAGCGTTTGCTACCGTACAGCGGCGGCATATAAAGAATGCCCCAGAAAGCGTTGCGTACAGTGCAATTAAATGTTTAGAATTGAATGGTGTACCAACATTTAATGTAAAAAAAATCTCCATTGAATAAATATATTCATTCCTTTTACTTTGTCAAACCTTTATTACATCGCATACTACTTTTTATTAAATAAGAAAAATAATTGCAGCATAATTTTAATTTACCGAAATATCTGTATATCGCGATATAATTATAATATAATTAATCGAATTATTATTATGTCGCCACAAAATAAAATTTCGATAAGTAAAAATTATATTGCGACATAATAATAATTCCGAATTCTTATTATGCCTCGACATAATTTTCATTCACCGAATTATTTTTAT